TCCTTGTTAAGGACAGAAGTAGGGCATGCACAAGAAGAGGGGATAGGATGAGGTCACACCAAAGGTATGGAGGCAAGGTTGCTAGATTGCAAATGAAGCCAAGTCTGGCCTCTTACAGTCTATGTGTTGATAAGTGACCCTTGTGCACTTAGTGGCTCATATGGACCGGACTTGCAGCATGGACTGCTTTAGATTAGATATACAGGACTTGTAGATTAGATACTGTTTGATCTGTACAATCTATTACTTACCATTGTGTTGTATATGACATCACTGTACTTCTATGACATCATGTGTCTGGACTCTGTGTTGTACTCAACGCCTTTGTTCTTTACTTAGCATTATCTTTATTATGATGTCACTATGATATCATCTTGCTCTGGACTCTTCTTGTTCTCCATGTCCTTGTTCTCAAAGTGTCCACTCCTTTGTCTCTTTGTAGAACAATATCTTCTTGTACTTTGTGACTAGTGTTACTAGCGTTGTATTACTGTCACTCTCTGTAGGAGTATAAGTAGAGTACCATGTACACTCCTGGTCCACATCAGTTCTCACTGCTTGTGTGCCAGACAACTCTCTTGCTTTACTTGCCTGACCCCCTGTTGCTGCTTCAAGCACTCTTGCATATCTCACCACAGACACCTTTGCCCTCTGTGAGTATGCTCTCCTTGTGTGCTGTTCATCACTATGGTACAGGCTCATCAGCAAGATAACATCTGCTGGAACTACTGGAGTGGCTGGGGGGCTAGGGCTGATGAGTGCCAGGCATTACCAGCAGCCCTAGTCATGCCAAGTTAGATGCAATATGCTCCAGAAGGCTCCTGGACACACTAGTCTTATAATCTGTGTCTAGGTAATCCTAGAAATGAGTGTTTTACTCTAGTAAATTCCAGATCACAAGTCTTGATTCAGAATCTTAGAGACCATCAAGGGTAACCCTCATGTTACTTGGGGCCTAGTACCCATAGCCAGACCAAAAACTCAATTCCATATGCATTGACAACTACCTGCCAGTGTGTTTTTCTGACCTGTTGTGGCCCTGATCTGGATCTGACAGAAAAACCAAGAATTTATTCAAGTAGCAAAAACTACAGATGACCTATGTATGTATGAGAAGATAACTAAAATAGAAAAAGTAGAATGGAGGGGAAGAAAGGGAAAGGACAATTACTCAGACTGAATAAACAAGTACTTTAGCAGCAGCAGTGTATGGTTTGTTGATGTGACCTATCTGCTGCCAAACAAGAAATCTGCCGAAAAAAAAGGGTCAGCCATGGGACCTGATACATCACTAGTAGAATAGGACAAAATGAGGGGATATGCACAGGGTGTCATGCCTCTGGGGGGGCATGGTCTTCTGTAATGGCTTCCTGTCATGTGGCAGTCAACAGCCAAGTTGGATCAGCACTGAGTGCAACAACTCCTAAGGTCTTCTATAACAGCCCCTATGCTAAGGTAGCTGATCCTGTGGCAATCCCCCTATACTGAGGTGGGAAAGGTCTTCAAGGGGCTGCTAAGTCCAAGAGTTGGAGTCTATTGTCAATGGACAAGCTCAAAGGCTTAAGTCCAAAGGTTATGTGCCACTGGGCTGACCAGTCTGGGAAGAAAGGAGGATGAGAGCAAAGTCAAGGGGAAGCCTGCATAGAGGCTGAGAGGGGAATGACCCAAAGGGGATAAGGGTCAAGGGTCAAGGGTTCTGGGTCAAAGGCTTGAGTGCTGAAGGGACTGAGGCACTCAAGGAGACAATGGGAGATACAATGCAGATAGTTGATTAAGCCAAAGCTAAGAAGCTAAGGTGCATTACAGGAGTCCTAATATAGTACAGGATTGTGCCTGAGTGTGTAATGCTACTGGTTGCTATAGATAGAGTGCCAGCAAGACAGTGTGCCAGCAAAGCAAGGGGAGAAGGAGTAAGAATAGCACAGAAGGTACTAGAACAATCAGATAAGGGGAAGCATGGTCTAGACTGGTTTAAGAGAGATAATGATGAACAGCACACATAGAGATCTTACTCACAGAGACAAAGTAGACTGTGGTGAGATAAGAAGGGTGGCTGGAAAGCAGCAACGGGGAGTCAAGCAGTGGAAGCAAGAAGATAGTCTGGCACACAAACAGTGAGAACTGATGTTGTTACATTGGAGGGAAGGAAGCTTACCTGGCACACAAACAGTGAGAACTGATGTGGACCAGGAGCGTACATGGTACTCTACTTATACTCCTACAGAGAGTGACAGTAGTACAAGGTAAGTAACGCTAGTCACGGAATTCAAAGGTGCTATTGTTCTACAAAGGGACAAGGGAGTGGACGCTTTGAGAACAAGGGAAGGGAGTACAAGGAGAGTCCAGAACTAGATGATATCATAATGAAAATAATACTAAGTAAAGAACAAAGGGAAGTACAAAAGCGTTATACAACGCAGAGTCCGGATGTATGATGTCATAGAAGTACAGTGATGTCATAGATGACGCAATGGTAAGTCCAGATTGTACAGATCAAATAGTATCTAATCTACAGGTCCTGTATATCTAATCTAGAGCAGTCCATGCTGCAAGTCCGGTCCGTACGAGCCGCTAAGTGCGCAAGGGTCACTTATCAACAGATAACTGTTCAGAAAGGAAATGGAGATGGATCAGATGAGATAAGGACAGGAAAGGAAAGTTAGTGGGGGGAGTGGGAAGTTCATGACATGGGGACCCCACATGGTGTGTTGCACAGACAGGTTTGGAACTGCAGAAAGGCAATGTTTATGAGTGGCACAGTGCCAGTTGTTGGTTGGGCTCAGGAACAAGAGTGGGTGTGGGTAGAAAGAGTTGATTCATTGTGTAGGAGTACATGCATGAGTGTACAGAGTGCAGGAGGGAGTGGATGGCCTGTGGCCACAAGTTGGTCTGCAAGTACAGGTGCAGGGGGATGGGCTTCTGGGAAGACTGGTGTTGTATGTATACATGAGAATGGGAGGACAAGCTGGTGTGCAAGTGACTCTCAAAGAGTGTGTTGAACTGAATGGTACCTGTCTGAGTTGTTGGCAAGTTGTTTGTAGCTCCACCAGGGAGGCTCCAGAAGCTCAAGAATCTGTGATAATATTTTGTTAGATCAACAATGAAAATAGAAGCTGTGAAAAAGAGGGAATAAGAGGACCTTTCATTCTCTCATTCAAAATTGGTCTCAGCACTATAGTCAGCAAGACTACAGTAAATGTGTGAGGCACCAATTGCCATGACAACTTCACAAAGGAGTGGTGAGATTGTGGTGAGAAAATAAATATGCTTGTACTCACATTTGGATGTTTGGAATATCTGAGAGAGCAAGGGACATCAGTGGGTGTGAATCACAGATCAAGTGGTTCATCACAGACCAGGTTGAAATACTCTAATTCTGTTATACAGAACAGGAGGTTGCAAGGTTGAGCCCCTGTGAGTGAAGAACAGAAGTGATGTACCATTCAAATTGAGAAAAGTGAATACCTAACATCATTTGAGTAAAGTTAACCCATGAGATAAATGGAATATGCACAGTTTTTGGGGTGTCCACAACAGCAACAATGATGAACCATAGTATCCCCTGTCTGGCACACTGTTCAGCTTTACATAAGGATAGAGTAAAAATGACAACTTACCTGAAAGCAAAGGAAGTGCCAGAGACCATACATGCCCACATCTTTGTAGTGTTTCAATGTTACGCCCTAGCAGGGGTGTGGGTTCTGAAGGTTCTGAGTTACACAAGTATCAAGTGAAGACATCTGTTGTCTTATTGCTATGAAATACAAGTGGCAGGGGTGTGGCACAAAGTCCAGCACTACTCTGTAAGATAAGGCTCCTTGCCTAAAGTGTATAACACTTCTCTACATTCTATCTTACAAGTGCACAGAGTCTGACAGGTGTAATGCATTGATATAGTTCAACTGCAAAGACTTCAAGGTGTCCTGGTTAAGGGCAGAGGTAGGGGATGCACAAGAAGAGGGGATAAGGCAAGGTCACACCAAAGGTATGAAGATAAGGTTGCTAGATTGCAAACAAAGCCAAGTCTGGCTTCCTACAGTCTATGGTACAGGATAAGGTTCCAAACAACATGAACACAAGTCCATACAATATCAAAGAGACCAAATGGGTTAAGAGGGCATTTGGTGATGAACAGCACACTAGAAGGGCATACTCACAGAGGGCTAAAGAGTCTGTGGTGAGATACACTGGGGTGCTTGAAGCAGCTACAGGGGTTATCAGGCAAGAGAAGCAAAGTAGTTGTCTGGCACACAGCAGTGAGAGAACTGATGTTACATTGGAAGGAAGGGAGCTTACCTGACACACAGCAGTGAGAGAACTGATGTGGACCAGGAGCATACATGGTACTCTACTTATACTCCTACAGAGAGTGACAGTAATACAACACTAGTAACACTAGTCACAGAATACAAGGTGATATTGTTCTATAAAGGGACAAAAGGAGTGAACACTTTGAGAACAAGGACAAGGAGAACAAGAAGAGTCCAGAACCAAATGATATCATACTGACATCATAATAAAGATAGAACAAAGCAAAATACAAAAGTGTTGAGTACAATGCAAAGTCCAGAAGTATGATGTCATATAAGTACAGTGATGTCATACATGATGCAATGGTAAGTGCTAGATTGTACAGATCAAATCTATATAATCTACAAGTCCAATTAATCTAATCTAAAGCAGTCCATGCTGCAAGTCTGGTCTGTATAAGCTGCTAAGTGCACAAGGGTCACTTATCAACATTTGGATCAAGGGAACAGTGCCACTAATGATAGTAGCTCCTTTGGTAACAAAGTATAGTACAGAAGGGAAAAGGCAACTGGAGATATACTGTAACTGAAGTCTGAAGTGTTGGATCATAACAGACAGAGAGGGTTTGCAGCTGAACCATGTTGGATTAGTAATCTGTCACATGACCTGGACAAATATGTTCTAGCTTGGTCACCATAAAGAGTGGGACCAGATCAGTACATGTAAAACAATCCACCTCAGTAACCCATGGCTAGGTAGCTCAGTTGGTAGAGCACCTGGTATATCCAGGAGGCCTGGGTTCAAACCCCAGTCTGGTCACTATTACATCTACTTTAACAAACCAGAGTTCATAAGGTGTCTTGCCATTATTGGCAGAGGTGGTGGTGAGTGTGGTGAGGTAGGCTGGAGTGATGCAAAATTTATCCCAAAGGAAGGCTGGCACATTGCATGCTAGGTGCATGGCTTGCACCTTTCCTAGCAATGTTCTGTGGAGGTGCTCTGCTTATCCATTATGGGCAGATGTATAGGGGGCTGTAAGTTGGTGATCAATGCCTTCCATGTTGCACCAGTTGTGGATGTTCTCAGAAATGAATTTGCCATTGTCAGATACAAGGATCTGAAACTTCTCACCTGACTGGACAGTTACTGCTCTGTGCCAGGTTTGGATTGCATTGCATGCTTCCACCTTCAATCACATGGGAATGCTCCACATGTAACTAGAAAAATCATTGATTATGTTCATAGAGTAAACCTTTCCAGAACACAAAGCCACAGCCATCAGACCACACAAATCCACATACACCCTTCCTAGTTTTGGCCTTAACCCCTTCACATGCCTTCAAATCTACAAGTGTGTCTGTTTCCTGAGCATGCAGTGATCACATTTGGGGGGGAGGGAGGAAAGGTTGATGGGCATACCTTCAGAGACCTTATTTTTTGCCATCTCTACAATTGTATAGGCATTGCAATGCCCAAGGTGGTGATGCCAGGTCTTGATATTTGGTACCTTGGCATACAGTACAGTGGGTGATACTGGCACCTTCTTGTGTTGAACAGAGGTCATTTGCATCATCAGGACATACAAGTGCTTGCTGGCAGACAGTGATCCTCATACAACTGTGTTGCTCCAGTTAGTCACCCAGCAGCTGAAGGAGTTGAAGTGGGTGGTGTAGTCCCTACTCCTGTTCAGCACAAGAAATGGAGATCAGTCATACAGCAGAATCCAGTATATAGAGAACATCAGTGAGTGTCACACCTCTGCAGGGGCATGGTCTTCTGTAACGGCTTCCTGTTATGTGGCAGACAGTGTTGTCATGACCTTGGTTGGACCTGGTCAGCCAGAAAAGGGTCGTAGACTGACCATTTTTACAGCACAGTCGGACCAAGGCTGCCAAGGTCAGACCACAGGGCTCATGTTGCCTAATCTAGAGGCCCATTTGCACGCAAACCCTCGCATTTGTACAGTACTTTAGATATTAGGATGGTGATATATAGTAAATGATGGGTTCTATACAGCTGTAGTAAAAACGAGAGTGAAAAAATAGTGACTTGCAACGAAATTATGATGCCAGTGCTGGCCCAGTCATCTGGTAACTCAGGCTCAGAGTCCCTGGGACAATGTCATGCTGCAACGCTCTCTCCTGCTGAGACTTCGTATGCAGCCAGCTCCTCATCCAGTGCTTGTGTTGATAAGTGACCCTTGCACACTTAGCGGCTCTAACAGACCAGACTTACAGATATGGACTGCTGTAGATTAATTAGGACTGCTTTAGATTAGATCTGATCTGTACAATCTAGGACTTCTATGACATCACTGTACAATGACATCATATGGACTACTTCCGGACTTTTCATTGTACTACGTTCCCTTGTTCTACTTTTGTTCTTATCCTTATTATGATGTCATTATGATATCATCTTTGTCTGGACTCTCTTTGTTCTAGTCGCCTTGTTCTCTTTTGATACACTCCTTTTGTCCTGTATGAAGAACAACGCTCCTTGTATTCTGTGACTCTATGTTACCACCTGTCACGGACGCTCTATTTTCGCCTTATTTTTCTGTATTTTTACGGATTTATTTGGTGGAGATACGGGACTCCAACGTTGTGTCAAATATCCAAGTCCTTATCACTAGATATGATAAGATGGTTAGTCACATGATGCCAAACATGTGCACCCACAAGCACGTGACCCTGGGATAGTAACTTCCTTATCGGATGTTACCTCTTTAGGTCACCTTCCACATTAGTATAGTAGTTTCTCATTGGACGATAAGCAGGGAACATTCTAGATAGTTCTAGACTACGTTGTCATAGGGTTGTGACTCATAGATAAGGACACGTCATTGTTCTGTCAGCGTTAATGACTGTGCATCAGTCAGCACAATAGATAACGCTATTATTAGACACGACGCGTCAGCGTCTGACTCATTACTATTACAATACCTTTAGTAACAAGGTTCCGTAGTAATTCGAACTCAGCCGCAGCATAGTATATAAACCCTCATGTAGCGTCCTGAGTGGAACCAACTTGTCCTCTTGGTTCTCCACTCAGGTGTGTATTCCTTTTGTACCTCCCTTACTTCTCCAATGTTAACTTGTCCTCTTGGTTCTCCACTCAGCGTGCCACTGCGTGATCACTTTGCCTTTGACCTTGTATAAAGGTCTCACGTGTGCATACTCTCCGCAGTGACTGTACGTTCGGCGCGTGACTTGTCTCCGCGCTAGGCTTAGGTGTGCTACTAGTTCAGTTCACTTACCTTCTCTTGGTCTAGTTGTCGCGATAAGTCATACCGCTACATTAGGACAAGTTCTTCCTTCACACGCCCCTTCATTCTTACCGGCGTTTCTATTTCCCTTTAGGTGGTTGACGACCACAAGTCCCTTGTGTCACACACCTCACTCTTTGCCTGTGGACCTTCATACGCAGAATCTGCGCTATCTTGGTACAACTCTATTGTCCGTAAAATCGGCATAGATTGTGCTTGCCTATAGGCGTTCTATCTGGTCATCAGTAGAACGTTTGGGTACTGCTTGCAGAACTGGTCACCACGCCAGATAAGCTGCAAGTGGAGGAGAAGCCTGCCAGGCCTAGCCTGCGACAGCTGTACGCGAAGTAAACAGAAAAGTTTGAGAGCGCTTCGGCGTGAGAGGCAGCCAATAGGTCGAGGAGACTGCGGCAGACAGCCTTGTGTTCTTGCACAAATTCATTACCCCATTCCTGAGTGTTCCGTTATTGCCGCAGCCTCGCGCAGTGTGAAACTATCACTGTGTATTGGTCTTGCTTGATCGGACTCTCCAATCACCTTCGACTTAGCGTTTCGCGGTCGTCGTAACACGTCGTCATATTATACCACTCCCTTTTTTCAAACTGCCTCGCATATTTGCGAACGTTCGTCAGCGTCTTCGACGTATCTTCCGGAGGAGACAGGAAACAGTCCTCCCTGTCCCAGCGCCCCCGTCACCCCCACGTTCTTATTTCACTCCAAACTTAGCCTCTGCTTCGGCATCGCTACATGTTCAGGGAGCAGGTCAATCGTCCTCTGACCCTATCCCTTCACCTCGCTTCGCATCTCCTACTCCAACAGTAGCTTCGGAGCACTCCTACCATTCGGCGCACTCCTCCTCCAACGAGACACTCGTTGACGACCCCCAAGCACCCCCTGTAGTTTATCAGCAAGAAGTCTTTGCTGGTGAAGAAGTCCACTACAGGTTCTCTTTAGAAGGCGAACCACAGAACGACGCGGAAGCATACGTCCGCACTATCTACTACGATAGAGATTTTCGTTACGCCCTTCTTGAACTTCACGGAGCATTTGGCCTTGTTGCCGGCACCCCTTTCACCGTCCCTCAGCTGATCGCCTTCGCGGCAGCTCTAGTCCCCGAACTTTCTCCTCCCCCATCTATCCACTCCCACGATAGCTCCCAAAGGGAAACAGAGAGCAGCACAAGCTCAAGCTCAGTATCCCACAGGAGTAACCTCGAAGTACAAAACGACCCTCTCTAAAGAAGAAAAAGAGTGGATCAAGAACTTCGACAACTGGGCCGACTTCGACGAAGACGAACAGCTTCGCCTCATCGAAGATAGACGGGAGTCGATTAAAAAGTACGAGGAAAGAAAGAGACAAGACGAATTAGATAAGATGTCCGCCGCCGCCACCGCTCCCCCCACACCGACAGCTCCTGCTCCGCCCCCAACTCTCAACGACTGCTTGCGCCTAATAAGCGACTTGGGCCAAGTAGTCGGCATACTTACACAAAAGGTCACAGACTTGACTGCACAGGTTTCAGCAACCGCGGCCAAGCCTAGTGCCCAACACAAGGAAGTAGTGGCCCGTCCCAAAGCCTGGGATGGGAAAGGCAACTCTACAGATGCCCGTCACTTCCTTGCAGCCTTCCATAATTGGGCAGGCTCACAGCAGGACGCTATGAATACCTGGGACCCGGCCCAGGGCATGTACTTCCGGGCAGAAGACTGCTGGATTATGGCGGTTCTTAACCTTATGGAAGGGGAAGCCAAGTCATGGGCTCTCCCTTACCTCGAACAACTTCAGTCAAACAATATCCCGTTCGGTAGCTCTTGGGACGAATTCGTCAAAGAGTTTAACCGACGGTTTTCGCCCCTCGACACTACAGAGACAGCGAGGGAGCAGCTGAAGAAGACAAAGCAGGGCCGCGGATCGGTTGCAGAGTACCGATCCGTGTTCGAACAATACTCTGGACAGACTGGATGGTCAAAAGCAGACCTCTGCACCCGCTTCTACGACGGTCTCTCGGACCGCGTAAAAGACGCCTTAGCCTTGACGGACAAGGCCCATGTCAATTTCGACGACCTCAAGCAGGTCTCACAATCGCTGGATCAGCGACTGAGACAGAGGGACTCGGAAAAGAAGGGCGGTTCGTCTAGCCAGTCGATCTTGCCTGCAGGCAAGCCGTCCGATCCAGACGCGATGCAAGTTGACGCATCACGTCAGCAGGGATCCGGCACGAGCAAGCCCGCATCCGGCGGAAAGACCCGGCAGGACTATCAAAAACACATGCAAGGCAAGTGTTACGGGTGTGGCTCTAAGGACCACTCAAAGAAGGACGGAAACCACGAACGCGACGTGTGCCACCATTGTCAAAAGGTCGGACATAGGGCACCCGTCTGCATGCTCAAATTCATGGGGAAACCTGCCAAAGCGAAAGCTGCGGCCAGTAGTGAGGAGACCCCCTCCCAGCCTTCTTCCAGTCAGTCGGCGGCTTCCACCGCCCAATCAAGCACTTCCGCACCGCCCAAAGCCAATACGTCCCAGGCAGACGTGGCAAAGTTATTGGCGG